TGACTCACTGACTGACTAAATAACGTTCAGCCCAAACCGATGATGATAGACCAGCATCACAAAAAAACCTAGCTTTATATACTAATATTAAATGCGAAAGTAAATCTGTATATCTGTTACCTTTTCGCGCTTAAACCGCTTAATTGATTTGAATGGATAAAATAAAATTATTTTCTTGTTATTTGGACTTCCACCTTTAATTTAGTAAAAACATTATTTCGATTTTATTTCAATTTCAAAATGGAAGAACAAGACCTATATTTCAGACATATTTTATTATAATATTACCGAAAAGAAAGAATACATGCAAGCACACAAGAAGTTATGTGTCGTATATGAGAATAAGGCCTAGAAAGAAACGTGTTGTGCCATGCTGATATATATTTGATTTAGTATTCTGACACTGCCTGAGAGATGGCAAAAGATCATCAACAAAAATGGATAATAGCAATACCTACCTACCTTTATTAAATAGAGTTATATTTTTTAGAAAAAAAAAATGAATTTTCCTTCTTATATAAAATACGCAATCGATGATGATGTTCTCCTGACCGATTCCGGCCACGGCGGCCAATCTCATTGAGACTAGCCAACTGCGCAGGAGATATTATAGTGCTCAAGTGTACGCGCAGACACAAGTGCACTCTCTATTCCTGTCACTCTCATACTCCGATGGGACGACTACTCGACACGACCGGTGAGAGATAAGGCGCAGGACCGACAGCTTTACGTGCTCTCCGAGGCACGGGGGTGAAACACCGCCAACTTCCCAACTCCGGGCTATTACTGAGTCTTTCTATACAGAAAGACTCAATAACTAAACTTGGCCCGACCCGGGACTCGAACCCAGGACCTCCAGGTGTGCAGCCGTACATGCTAGCCGCTACACCACCGAGGCAGTACGCAATCACTTAGTTGCCAACCTTAATATTTTATGCTGCCTGCCTCTGACTGAAAAAATAATAAAAAAAATACATCGAAATATAATTATGTTATTTCTGATATGCATAATTATGTATAATATATATTTACTTAGATTAAAATTTTAAAATTATTTAGTACAATTATGATAAATATTCCTTGTTTGTAGATTTGGAGTAACTGATATGTAACTGTTGATATAACTTTGTAATCGACCTTGGCTTTTTTTGCATTAGGTTAATGACTAAAATATACAATTAAATAAAAAGATTTTCAACTAAATCTTATTTAAATCAGTGCTAAGTAAATTACATATGTATGTATGTGTAATAATTTATTATGAAATTTATGTACATAATTTTGAGGTTATTTTGTTGTTGATTATTTGGCATCAGATATGATGTAAAATCTTTACTACAACACCAGCTACCTGGCTTACGGTTTATTTATGTTATACTAGTGGTTGCCAGCGGCTTTTCTCGTATTATTATGTATACCTAAAGTGATATTAGATATTCTTTAACGATCCTCAAAAATAATTTTTCAAATAGAATAAATAAACAAACTTTTTAGCTTTAAGTAACTCTTTACTAAATATTTCAAGACTAAAGCCTTTATACTCCACATGCATAATAATTAATTAATACTGCATATTTTTGTTAAATAACTAGAATGTAATTAAAAATATGTGAAAAAAAAACAGATGAATTGTCATAAATATTTTATTGTAAAAGTTAAATATGAAATATAACATTTACATGAGTAAAACAGGCTCTTATTTGCATGAGTATTATGAATTCAGCACAACGCCCCATGTTCTCGGGACGTGTGACTCACATCAGACATAACTTATTGCCATTTATATTTAACTAGGATCACAGTCGTTGTTCTGCTGTCGTGCTTGAGGCTTACCACGCGTGGGCGAGAGGGGCAGAGATAGCTCCATGACCCAAGTGAGAGCCGTACGCGTTGTAGGCGAGAGGGGCGATATGGGCAGCGTAGGACAAAGGAGCGGCGTGGTGGAGGGGAGCGGACAGAGCGGCGTAGCCTCCGTGGTTCACTGAGCTGGAAGACGCGGAGTATGATACGGAGGGAGCGGCGTACGTCTTGTAGGCAAGAGGAGCAGCATAGGTGTTGTGGGCGAGAGGAGCGGCGTATGTGTTGTAAGCGAGGGGAGCGGCGTACGTGTTGTAGGCGAGGGGAGCGGAGTGGGCGAGGACGGCGGGGGCGGCGTGGGCGAGGACGGCAGGGGCAGCGTGGGCAATGATGGCAGGGTCCTTGCGGACGATGGCGTTGAAGCCGGAGTGCGCGTCCGCGGCGTAGTCGACGGTGCGGCGGCTGCCGTCAGACTCCAGGAGCGAGTATTGTCCGACCACGTTGTCTCCGACGCGGGTTTCGTGCTGGCTCTTCACATCGCCGGTGTGCAGGTCTGTCACTCCGTAAGAGAAACTGCTGGAGTCAGCGCCATGGATGGCGCTGCATTGAGCTACTGCTACCAACAGGGCGAAAACTGCGACCTTGAAAAATATGATAAAATTTGGTTAATAATAACCCAACATTTTATAATTTGATATTTTTTAGTTTTAATATTTTAATAATTGTAAACACTTTTTCACTTGGTTGGCTGTTTACCTTGGAAAACATGTTGTATTGTTTGCTGTCTATAGAACAACTGATGGTTGGTGGAAGAGTGGTGGCCTTTATATAGTGCTTAATTTTGAATGATACGTGTGGGCAATGTAATCAGATTTGTAGCAGGAACTTGTGAAAGACTCATAAGCATTGACCTACGTTCACAAGGAAACATTCTTTTTTATTACGTACATAGTTATGTACGTATATCCTTTGTCTTTATAGCATATTTTTCATTGATTCGTTAAAGATTTGGCAAATATTTAAAAAAAGATTTCCTGTTCTATTTCTAGTTTCTATTCCTATTTCCTATAATATTTGCTATAAAAATTAACTAATTACTAATAATAATAAACTTTTATTTATAAATAGGGAAATTGATAATAAAACATAGTAATTAAAAAGGCTAGTACAATTTCAAACAGTTGGGTGAAGAACCTCCTTTTTAGGTTATAAGTATAATCTGTATTAAGGGTTCCCCTTTGGATATTTAACAATATCTTTACGTACCGTACAATATGTTTTTGTATACTAGTATAGTGTTATGTGATCTGTGATATTACTATGTCTACAATTACAATACTAAGTTCTATTGTTAGTAGTAATATTAACTTTATATCTAAAGCTTGACTCCCCATACTAACTTTCATCCCCATTTTCACCTCCGTAAGGGATGATTTCCGGGATAAAAAGTAACCTATACCCTTTCGAGAGTCTCAAACTATCTTCTTACCTAATTTCATCGAAATCGGTTCAGTAGATCCAGAGATTACCCCCTACAATGTCACAAACTCACAAACTTTATCTCCTTATATTATTATTATAGATAAATGAATGTGTGTGTGTATATGTGTGTGTATGAGTTCTAAGATTTCTGAGTTTACACGTCTAAATCAGGTATTGTTTACATGTAACAAAAGTATAATTTCTTTTATGTTTATTAGTTATAGTTTAATCACGAAATAAATTTTATTGTTAGAAAATCACAGAAGATGCACTTGACACAATTTTTTCATTATTTTTATGTGCTAGTTACACGTATGGTATTGTGTAAATAATCATGTATGCCTAACATAGTCTTTCATTAGAATTTACACAACGAAAAATTGTGAATATTATATATTACTTTATAAGGTTTTTAAGTTTTTATTTACAAGTAAAATATAAATATTATATCTTACTTTCACAATCTGGCATACATTAACACCTCACGGTAATCTAAGAAATTTATTAAAATTCTAAGAAATCTATTGTTAACTGACACGCCGGCGTGTCCGCGGTCGTGGAGGGATTAATATATGTATTTCTATATACATAATATACTTATCATGAAAGATATCTCGAAATTTTAATGAGGCCAGACCCTTGAGGTGTGTCATAATAATTAATTAAATTATAAAAATAAAAAAAGAACGCGACTGCGTAAACAGCGAATTAAAAAGATGGAACTAAAAAGGCGAAAGTTTCATATTTGCTGTGAAATGTATGCGACATACATACATACAGGTCAAACACATAACCCTCCTTTGCGATTCACCGTAATCGGACAAAAAATAGAATATCGAAAATCTAATCACGATTAGCAAATACTGATAACAAACGTAACATATATGATAACTTCACACAAAAATTTACGTGAATTAATATTTTTTCGGTGTCATAGAACAATTGATAAAAAAAACCATTATTGCGTTTTATGATCTTAAGAATTTAAGTATTACATTATATATTCAATGAGACATTTTCTCACTGTAATATAAATTTTTAATTGCCAACATTACAACTAAGTCTATTGACGATGATAGTGGCGACACAATATATTGTGGTACGTGTGTTCTACTGACACAGAAAAGCTCTCCAGAGATTACGTCCCCGCAAAAGGAAGATGTTAATAAGAGTGAGTCTAATATACAATGTAGTGCTTATATTTTGACCAACTTCAAAACTTAAGGGTTCAATTCTTCTATATTTTTTGTTTATATTACTTTTAAATAACTACCTTTCCTCGCAGCTCCATCTGCAAAGTTAATTTATGTACATTTTGTTGCCTTGTAGTCAGATATATATATATATATATATATATATATATATATATATCAATTCATACTTTTCCAAGTTTTGAGTTTCCGAGAGAAGTTCTGAGGATAAGCAGTAACAAATAGACAAAAAACAAAAGCTTCTTTACACCACATACTAAAAATCTCTTCTAAAAATGTAAACGATATTTAATAAAACATCAAGTCTCAAAAATTATGCAAATGTTAAACAATAAAAGTTCTTATACCTTTCATATTAACATCTTATTTAAATTTTGACGGAATTTACTAGCATACTCGAAAGTATTTTTTCCGGTTGGTTTCAAAGGTAAGGTTTTGTGTCTAATATAAATAGTAGCGCTCACAGGGTTTAATCAGTTGCACTCAGAAGTCGAGTTAAACACACGTAAAATGGCTTTCAAGGTAATAGCAAAATATATCGTAAAAACCTATGTTAAAATAAACTGTATGCGAAAAACGTGATATTTTAAATATTTTATGTATGTTTTGTTTATATTCCATATTTTGTTTATAGTTCGTCGTCCTTGCTCTCTGCGTGGCTGTCGCTCACGGCAGCGCCATCCACGGTGCTGACTCCAGCAGCTTCTCTTACGGAGTGACAGACCTGCACACCGGCGATGTAAAGAGTCAGCACGAGACCCGCGTCGGAGACAACGTGGTCGGACAATACTCGCTCCTGGAGTCTGACGGCAGCCGCCGCACCGTCGACTACGCCGCGGACGCGCACTCCGGCTTCAACGCCATCGTCCGCAAGGACCCCGCCATCATTGCCCACGCTGCCCCTGCCGTCCTCGCCCACGCCGCCACCGCCGTCCTCGCCCACTCCTCTCCCCTCGCCTACAACACGTACGCCGCTCCCCTCGCTTACAACACATACGCCGCTCCTCTCGCCCACAACACCTATGCTGCTCCTCTTGCCTACAAGACGTACGCTGCTCCCTCCGTATCATACTCCGCGTCTTCCAGCTCAGTGAACCACGGAGGCTACGCCGCTCTGTCCGCTCCCCTTCACCACGCCGCTCCTTTGTCCTACGCTGCCCATATCACCCCTCTCGCCTACAATGCGTACGGCTCTCACTTGGGTCATGGAGCTATCTCTGCCCCTCTCGCCCACGCGTGGTAAACCTCAAGCACGACAGCAGAACAACGAATGTTATCTTAGTTAAATATAAATGGCAATAAGTTATGTATGATGTGAATCACACGTCCCGAGAACATGGAGCGTTGTGCTGAATTCATAATACTCATGTAAATAAGAGTCAGTTACACTTGTTCATATTAATTACTCGTAACTCTTACAATAAAATATTTATAAAAAAATAGTATTTTTCTTAATAATTTACAATTTATATAATATAAAATAAAACGGTAATACATAATAAATATTATATTCTAGTGAATTCTATTCGATTTAATGAAGTTTCTAAAACAAAGGCAGAATTCATACAAGAAAGCAAACAGAATCTAATAAACATCAAGCAGATTCTATTAGCTACTCTATCATAAAAATACGTACAAGCTCGAACTTGGTGCAATTATATTTATATATATATTATTACTTAAGTGAAACAAAAAAGTAAACACTCGCCAAGTATCAATTGGACTCGTGGTAGGGTTTCAAGTTTTTGTTTTTAGTATTCATATTTAAAAGAAAAATAAAAACCTTTAAAGAATTAATTGTCCGTCTCTCACACTTTATTTTCTCATCACACGTACTAAATTAAAAAAGTTGACATTTGGTTCACGTACCTGGATTTCCAAATGTTACAGATACTCGGATAATAAATAAATTCTATTTTTTGTTTATGGGATTTATTTTTTTATATTATAATTTTTTTATTTTGTTATATTATTGTTTTTTTTTAAATCATTAACTTCACCATGTGTGACATTTGAAAAGGGGGAGCTTAAACTATTTTGTTTTACTTTGAAATGGTATCGTTTAAAAGAAAAACATGAAGTTAGAAAAATGACATTTGCATTGAGCCCTTTCTTTTTACAATATTTTCTTACATTAGATATTTGTATTTATTTGAAATTTTAAATTAAACTATCTTTTCGGATTATTTCCCGGATTTATTAAGGTTTTCGGTTCCCAACGTTTCGAATGCTTTACAGCAATCATGGTCACGGGAGAGACTACGTTTTTAGATGTCTCCAAGGAGTTTTTTATACTTGTCACAGACAGTGCTTACCCACAATTTAAAAAGATAATTTAAAAAATTGGAAAATGGCACCAAAGAACATTACAATATTTGTTGATTTTAATTCTAAACATTTTAAAATTGTTAATAAGTATTATAATTAAATATAACAATATTATTTATTTAATTTTTGCTGTTATTATTATAAATATTACATTTTTTTTAAATTTTATTAATTAATAATAACATTTAGTGTTGCTATTATTATAATATGTATAACCACAAAGAAATTCATTTTTGTAAAATTGTGGGTAGGCACTGTCTGTAACAAGTACCTATATAAAGCCTTTGAGACGTCTAAAACCTTAGTCTATGCTTTTATTTTCTCTATTTCACGTGCACTAGTGTAAAAATGTTAAATTACTCCAAATTCTATAAAATCTCTTTACAACGTCATAATGTATGAAATTATTCATGATAACAGCGCGATAGGTGATATATATATATATATATAAATATATATGTATATATATATATATATATATATATATATATATATATATATATATATATATGTATGATAAGTAGAATAGAGAGACAGAAGAGCGAAAAGCGTAGTTGTGATATGATTTAAACTAGAGTCTTTAAATATGAAGCCCTACTATTGAACTACTCTTACATAATATGAAAAATATTTGGAAAACATAATAGTTACACCAAATTAGACGCTCGCACCATTAAAAAATACCTTCAAATCCTATTTTCATTTAGAGATACCGCTAAAATTTTTACTTCCTTTTTATACTATATTATAGTGTACGCTATTATAAATACATGTTTTGCGAAAATTTTAAGCAGCTATATTATTTATTAAAGTTCAATAGATGTTGGACAAATAGACAAACAGTCAACGATGGATTCTGTAGTACAAAATCCTAGAAATTTTAACACTTCCATTTATTTAAAATATTATATATTACGGAAAAATGACGAATTCGATTCTCACAAGAAATAAGTGTTTATTATTGCCGCATAACTCTAATCAGATTATAGATAGATAATCGCGTTTGAGTCTTGCATACCGAGAATTCCGTTATATGTGGCTTTTAAATTATTTTCTTTTAACTTATGTAATTTCTGGGGTAAGAGCAAAAAAACATTTTCATTTATAGGCATCAAAAATAAATTTAAAAAATCATATTGTCCTTCAAAGTAAATAATGATATTATAAACTTATATTTGTATATGACAGGGTAAATAATTTTATAATTATAAGACTAGACGCGGTTTTTGGCACAGCTTGTTAATACAATTATTGTGATAATGTAAAGCACAAGATGGTGCACTAAGTTACCATGTTTTATATATCTACCACGCAAGGTGATGAGAATATAGAGAGATACTAGCAGAACTCGCGGCTTCGCTCCCGCGAAACCCACAAAAAAAGGCTTTAGGCTATTAGCAATAATTTGATGGCTGTGATGATTTTCAAATGTGTATGATTGTAAATGAGTATGATTATGACTCGCGCATGGAGGGTTCCGTACCGCCGAATATTGTGCTGTTTTTACTAACATATATACACAGTAATATTTTTTTGCGTTTTGCGTGTTTAATTGCAAAAAATAAGTTCTCGTTACATATTATTTTTTACAGATATTATGGTACCTGGTACATGTTTCCTAATAGTATGTGTGTATCTCCGACTGCAAAGTACTATGTTGCTTTGTCAACTTGTTCTCATCTTTTTAGTTCGCTTTTTCCGCAGTCGAGTTTATTTTATTTTTATAATTTTTTTTAGTGTTTTGAAGTCGGTTTTTTTAAGTTTTTTATATTTTGTATTTCATTATCTGCACCTAGAAGTATGTATATGAAGGTTCTTTAGCGAATATGTCCATACAAACGTGCTAACCCTACAAAACAAAAATAAATAAATTGCCACCGCTTTTCTCGTCTAAAAGGTGTTATTTTAAAAAAATCTTTGAAATACATGTTTATAGTTTATTTATCAGTTCAATCAAGAAACACAAATAGTTAATTTCAAGCAGATCAGACTATCTTTATATATATAATTCTTCTGTGAGTGTGTATGTCACTGAACTTCTCTCAAACGACTGGACCGATTTTGATGAAATTTTTTGTGTGTGTTCAAGGGGATCTGGGAATGGTTTAGATTTACAATTTGAATAATAATTTTCATCAAAAAAATTATTAAAAAAAGTTTGAAATTTTCAAATTAAAGACGTGTAGACAGGACAACGTCTGTCGGGTCCGCTAGTTTATTATAAATTTTTACACTAATTTTTTCTCCCTATTTCTCCCGTTAGTGGTTGAATTTCTAAAAATTCTTCCTTAGTGGAATGTTTACAACATAAAATGAAATGCATGCAATGTATTGCCGAAATTTCAAAGTAAAAAAAAAAGTTTCAAAAGGTGATATTTATAATAACAACAGCTAAAATTAAATAAATAATGTTGCTATATTTAATTATAATATATTAAATATTTAGAATTAAAATCCACAAATATTGTAAGGTACTTTGGTGCCATTTTCAAATTCTTTAAATTGTGGGTAGGCACTGTCTGTAACAAATATAAAAAAACGCCTTTGAGACATCTAAAACCGTAGTCTCTCCCGTGACCATGATTGCTGTTAAGCATTCGAAACGTCGGGAACCCAAAAATCAAAATGAATCTGAGAAATAATCCGAAAAGATAGTTTTATTTAAAATTTTCATAGTATTTATAAATAAATATTCAAATAACCTTAAATAATTTCTGCGAGAGATATTAAAATCAAAATTAACAATAATAGTTTGTGTTCCTTACAAATTAGCATGATGTTTAAATTTGGACAGAACTCATACGCATATTTGAAAGTTTTTATTTCTTCCGTATTATTTCACAACTTAAGGCTTTGTGTCTAATATAAATAGTAGCGCTCACAGGGTTAAATCAGTTGCACTCAGAAGTCGAGTTAAACACACGTAAAATGGCTTTCAAGGTAATAGCAAAATATATCGTAAAAACCTATGTTAAAATAAACTGTATGCGAAAAACGTGATATTTTAAATATTTTATATATTTTTTGTTTATATTCCATATTTTGTTTGTAGTTCGTCGTCCTTGCTCTCTGCGTGGCTGTCGCTCACGGCAGCGCCATCCACGGTGCTGACTCCAGCAGCTTTTCTTACGGAGTGACAGACCTGCACACCGGCGATGTGAAGAGTCAGCACGAGACCCGCGTCGGAGACAACGTGGTCGGACAATACTCGCTCCTGGAGTCTGACGGCAGCCGCCGCACCGTCGACTACGCCGCGGACGCGCACTCCGGCTTCAACGCCATCGTCCGCAAGGACCCCGCCATCATTGCCCACGCTGCCCCTGCCGTCCTCGCCCACGCCGCCCCCGCCGTCCTCGCCCACTCCGCTCCCCTCGCCTACAACACGTACGCCGCTCCCCTCGCCTACAACACATACGCCGCTCCTCTCGCCCACAACACCTATGCTGCTCCTCTTGCCTACAAGACGTACGCCGCTCCCTCCGTATCATACTCCGCGTCCTCCAGCTCAGTGAACCACGGAGGCTACGCCGCTCTGTCCGCTCCTCTCCACCACGCCGCTCCCTTGTCCTATGCTGCCCATATCGCCCCTCTCGCCTACAACGCGTACGGCTCTCACTTGGGTCATGGAGCTATCTCTGCCCCTCTCGCCCACGCGTGGTAAGTCTCAAGCACGACAGCAGAACAACGACTGTGATCCTAGTTAATTATAAATAAAATGGCAATAAGTTATGTCTGATGTGAGTCATACGTCCCGATAACATGAGGCGTTGTGCTGAATTCATAATACTCATGTAAATAAGAGTCTGATACACTTGTTCATATTAATTAACTCTTACAATAAAATATTTATAAAAAATGTAATATTTTTTAATAATTTATATAGTGTAAAATAAAACGTCGTCAATACATATAATAATTAATGAACATTCTGGTGAATTCTATTCGATCTAATGAAATGGCTAAAATAAAGGCAGAATTCGTGCAAGAAAGCAAACAGAATCTAATTAGCATTACGTTGGTTCTCTTAGCTACTCTATCATAAAAAGACATACAAGCGTCGAAGTTAGTAAAATTGTTAAAGTACAATATCAAGTACAATATCTAATAAATATCAAGCAGATTCTATTAAATTAGATAAAAATACGTACAAGCTCGAATTTGGTGCAATTATATTTATATATAAATTATTACTTAACTGAAACAGAAAAGTAAACACTCGCCAAGTGTTAATTGGAATCATGGTAGGGTTACAAGTGCTATGGAATATGAAGTTCTGGTTTTTAGTATTCATATTTAAAAGGAGAAATCGAAACTTTTAAAGAATTACCCGTCCATTTCTCAAACTTTATGTTCGCATCACACCTACTAAATTAAATAAAGTTGACATTTGGTTCATGTATGATAGAGGTACTCGGATAATAAATAAATTCAAATTTTTGTTTAAGAGGTTTTGTTGGGTGGGGGTTTGTTTATGGTGTTAAATTGGAAAAAAAGCATTAACTTTACCATGTAACATTCAAAAAGAAAGGGGGACCTAAAATATTTTGTTTTACTTTGATACAGCATTGTGTAAAAGATAAACAAGAACTTAGAAAAATGACATTTGCATCGAGCTATTTTTTTCTCTATTTCACATACACTTTAGAGTCAAAATGTTGAATTACCCCAAATTCTATAAAAAAGCCTTTATAACGTCATACTGTATGAAATTATTCATCGTAACAGCGTGATAGGATGTACATATAATAAATAGGATAGAAAGACGGAAGTATGAAAAGCATAAATGTGATATGATTCAAACTAGAGCCTTTAAGTGCAGTGGTAGTTTAGTGGTATCGCGCTCGCTTCGGGTAACCGAGTGAAGCGGGTTCAAATCTTGGGTCACGCACCTGATATTTTCATGTGCGAATCATTTTCAAAATGATTATCACTTGTCTTACGCTGAAAGAAAACATAGTGAGGAAACCTACATGTCTTAGAAAACCTGGCAAGTTTTCGAAAGACATGTGAAGTCCGCCAACCCGTATTTGGCCAGCGTGGTGGACTATATGGGGGATCAAGATCCCCCTTGTGTTGAGCAGTGGGGCGTCAAAAAGGGCTGAATACATAGAGCCTTTAACTATGAAACCCTACTATGAACCTACAAGTATACATTTAAAAAATAGTTGGAAAACTGTAATCGTCACACACACATTAAAAATGCCTTAAAATCACGATTTTCATTCAGAGATACCGCTGAATTTTTACTTTCTTATCATATTATGTTATAGTGTACGCTATTAGAATACATATTTTGCAAAAATTCTAAGCGTATATATTATATAATTAAAGTTCCAATAGATTTAGTTCCATAATGTTGGACACATAGACAAACAGTCAACGATGGATCCTGATTCTGTAGTGCAAAATCCTAGAAATTATAACACTTCCATGTATTTAAATTATTATGTATTTCAGAAGGATCATGAATTCAATTCTCACAAGAAGTAAGTCTTTATTATTGCCACATAATTCTTATTAGATTAAGATAAAATCGCGTTTTAGTATCGCAGGCCGAGAGTTCATTATATGCTGCTGTAGCATTGTTTTGTTTTAAATTATATAATTTCTGAGGTTACTTAAAAAAGCAAAATAAAATGTTCATTTGTAGGCAGCAAAACTATATTTAAAAATTCGTAGTATCTTTCAAAAATACTATGAAAAACTTATGTTTGTATTGTAAGGTAGGATTTTTATATATTGAGCGTTTTAATAAAAATATTATAGTAAATAATATATTTGCCTAATTTGTAGTGATTTACTCGTATGTATAAGGCATTTACTTATGTGAACTTGGCCGATAGGAATGTGTTTTAAAAAAATAAAAAAAGGGAGTGGATATTCATTTGTTTTCCCGCGCTTTTGCACGGAGATGTCGGTACCACTCTGTAGTGACTAGTCACGTCTTGTTTATAATACTGAAAATTATGGTCATAAATTATGTAACTCACTGACGATTATAAAAGTACTGAATATAAGAATATAAGCAAGGAATATCTCGAAGTTTTATTAGTGGTCCTACACTATGTGACAGAGTAAATAATTATTATTAGATATTAAACGCGGTCTTTGGCACAGTTTGCTACTACGATTATTTTGATAATGTAAAGTATAAGATGGTGCACTATGATAGTGTCTTATTTTATATGTTTACCACGCAAGGTGATGACAATATACAAATATTAGAAGCCAATTGTTAATTTTGTAATGCCAATGGCCCCTGCTCTCTCTATCCTGAACACAAGTGACATGATGATGAATGATATCTTCCCGACGATTTAGGCCACGGCGACCAATCTCACTTAGACTAGCCAACTGTGTAGTAGATATTGTGCACTATCTATTCTGGTTAAACTTGAGAATTCAAATTCAGTCTTGGAACTTGAAACAATTCCGATGGAATGATAATTCAACACGACCAGTGAGAGTACCTCTTTACGTGCTCTCTGAGGCCCCCGTGGGTAAAACACCGCCAACTGCCTAGATCCGGGCTGTTACTGGGAATTCCTTAACAGAAAGACTCAATAGGTAAACTTGGCCTGACCAGGGGTAAGTGATGTGATATAGGGACAGTTGGAGAGATGGATTTCCTGACTCCTGACGTTATTAAAATGGTTCAGTAGTTTCATTCTTGACTACAGAGCCAGTAATAATGTTAATTTTGTTAGATGTATGCTATACGTTCTATGCGAAACAGTATAAATAAATAAGCAAGTATTATCAATAAGTAAAGAAAATGTTAAATTAAAATTTAATAGAAAATTATTATCAAAGATTGTTGACGTCCAAACATACACTTACAATAAGTGTTCTAATAATAATATATAAGAACGGCACCCGAAGTTACAAATTTAATTCACGTAAAAATCTTTGTATTGATCATACAAAAATTAATGTAATGAGGAACTGCCGATCCGATTGCAAATATTCTGATGTTTTTTAATTTTATTTTTCATTCATAAGTATGTACACTTATTACATACATAATAAGTATCTGTAAAAAGTCAATTCTTAAAATATGAAGTAGTGTTTATTAATAAACATTCTATTAACTATATAATTTATGCGAAAGTATCCTTTCATGTTTCATGTTTAAATTTGGACAGAACTCATACGCATATTTGAAAGTTTTTATTTCTTCCGGTATTATTTCACAACTTAAGGCTTTGTGTCTAATATAAATAGTAGCGCTCGCAGGGTTAAATCAGTTGCACTCAGAAGTCGAGTTAAACACACGTAAAATGGCTTTCAAGGTAATAGCAAAATATATCGTAAAAAGCTACGTTGAAAAAAAACTGTATGCGAGAAACGTGATATTTTAAATATTTTATGTACGAGTATGTTTTGTTTATATTCCATATTTTGTTTGTAGTTCGTCGTCCTTGCTCTCTGCGTGGCTGTCGCTCACGGCAGCGCCATCCACGGTGCTGACTCCAGCAGCTTTTCTTACGGAGTGACAGACTTACACACCGGCGATGTGAAGAGCCAGCACGAGACCCGCGTCGGAGACAACGTGGTCGGACAATACTCGCTCCTGGAGTCTGACGGCAGCCGCCGCACCGTCGACTACGCCGCGGACGCGCACTCCGGCTTCAACGCCATCGTCCGCAAGGACCCCGCCATCATTGCCCACGCTGCCCCTGCCGTCCTCGCCCACGCCGCTCCCGCCGTCCTCGCCCACTCTGCTCCCCTCGCCTACAACACGTACGCCGCTCCCCTCGCTTACAACACATACGCCGCTCCTCTCGCCCACAACACCTATGCTGCTCCCTCCGTATCATACTCCGCGTCCTCCAGCTCAGTGAACCACGGAGGCTACGCCGCTCTGTCCGCTCCTCTCCATCACGCCGCTCCCTTGTCCTACGCTGCCCATATCGCCCCTCTCGCCTACAGCGCGTACGGCTCTCACTTGGGTCATGGAGCTATCTCTGCTCCTCTCGCCCACGCATGGTAAATCTAAGAAAACACGGCAATACACCGTAAGCTGTGATCCTAGTGAAATAAAATGGTAATGAGCTAGGTCTGGTGCAAATAACAGCCTCATGTACACATGTAAATATTACTTTATCCTTACAATAAAATATTTATGAAAATACCTATTGTGTTTTATATCTATATAGTTTATCTAATATTACCTTATAATAAAAGAAAATTCTATAGAAAGACCAAAATATGATTTTTTTAACATAAGATTCCTTGGATTTACTTAACAGATTTGAGACATTTAAAACAAAGTTAAAAGTTTCGTGCAAAAAGTCAATATTTTGTAAGCTGTGTCTGTGGACTGTTTCGTTGATAACTAATTAAATATAATGATGAATTGTGATAATGGCGACTTTTATCAGCTCTTTATCATATAATAATGAAAAGAAATACCATAATACATATTATAATAGAAAAAATAGAAAACAACCCAACTAGATCAATTTTAACGAGTAGACTTTCTGAAGACGAAAGCTTGGCGTTATTAGTTTGTCCTTATTTCTAGTATTTATTTTGTGTCTATTACTGTTTCCTAAATAACAATGGATGTTTTGTCTAACGGACATGATATTACAATATACATATATCAATGTACATATATTAGGAAGGCGCAAAAAACGTCATTTTTTCTTTTTTGTATCTCATATGAAAATATGTAAGTCTATCATGTTTTAAGAGCCTCCTCAAAAATCAGCGCAAAAAAAATTTTTTTAAGAGGTCGCTCACAATTTTTTTATTTTCAAAATCGACAAAAAAAATATAATTTTTTTCTCGTATTTTTTTCATTTTCTATATTGAAAAAAATTAAATTCTGAAAATTTCAAATTGATATTTAAATTTCTAAACGTCGTCGCTCATTTTTTTTAATTTGAAAGTAGTTTACCTACTAAAATGTTTTCGAGCGACCTCTAAATATAAATTAATATGTTCTAAAATCTAAATAAAGAACACCATCAAAAACGAAATTATAGGATAGGAAGATCATATAGATCAAAGAATCAAAAGAAAAAAAGTTATTTCGTTAATATTTATATGTTCGTTCATTTCGTTAATATTTTTCCCAAGCGTTATTAATGTGTTTAAGAAGAGCAACTCCCGCATCGGCTGTATACTTGCTCTTAGTAAAACCGCACTGTTCACTATGAAAGATATTATTTATATTAAAATGAATTGAATTAATTGGTTTAGAATAAGTATTTAAAAATTTTACTCATAGATCATTTTTATCACCGCATTATCTTTCTAACATCGATCTAAAAAGTACTAGATACACAATCCCATGCGAAAGTTCTCTTAAAACTGTCACCAATTGTGTTTAGGTAATTATTCTAGATGAAATAAATATACAATGTAAATTGAACCTTAAATGCAACGCTTAAAGTTGTTTTCACAAAAAAAAACCGCGCTCTGATGTTCAAATGAGCGCTCATTCGGTGAGGACATTGTTTGTCACTGATTGTGTATCAAGAACTTTTTTGATAGAAGCTTTCTAAACATAAGAACAGGGACTAACTACACATTATTGAAATACAATTTAACAGACGTAGCCCATAAATCACCAAACATTAAACAATATTATATATAGAATCCATACTAATATTATAAAAGTGAAAGTGTGTTTATTTGTTTGTTTATTTGTTTGTGTGTCTTTCTTTCACGTCAAAACGGAGTAACGGATTAGCGTGCGTTTTTGTATGGAGATACTCGTAGTTGGAGGCCTGGAGAGTGACATAGGCTACTTTTTACCGCAGGAGATTATCTGATTACCACGGGAAAACGCGTCAAAATACAATCCAAAAAATATATTTATGATCAGAATTATTTGAAACTTGGTATTAATGCTCTTCAATAATATTAAATAAATACGTGTCTTAGCATTTTTCGAAATTTATCCTATAAGAGGGTGAAATAGGGGCTGAAAGTTTGTATAAAACTTACTTAAACCTTTTTAAAGATTTTTCGTAGTTTTAGCGCAAACGAAACCGCGGGTTCTGCTAGTAGTTTATATATTATTTATCTTTGTATATACATAAATGTATAGGTTAGACTTTTTAAAGGTTGTGTAGTTGGTATTAGCAAATTTAATTAAAACAATTTTTTCACGGTTCGACTAATTAAAAGAATGTATTAATTAGTAACTTATATAAGTTTTGGCCTAAAGTTTTACTTAAAATGATTAAATTTTGATGTTTTAAAAGTAACCTTATATATGATACCAGAGGTCACACATTCAATTCTCACAGGATATGAATGCTTGATTTTTATAAATACCTATTTGTATGCTCTAGGCCGATTTTATATATTCTTTATTGCACATAAAAAATATATATTACATTAAATAAAATTGGGGTCAAAGGTGATTTTTACGATTCTTTTTTCTTTTTACAGTCATCGGGCTACTATATATATAAAAGCGTATTACATGTACATGCATTTGCGTGTGTGTATGTCTGTCAATTGTTTACATTGGAATAGCTGGACAGATTAAAATAAAATTTTGTACACAGATAGACTATGACCTGGACTTAACAGCAAACTTGACATTTACAGTCTTTCAATGACTGAACTGTTTTAGTTAGATAGAAGTGTATAGGCACTAAGTAACTGAAACTACTAACATTAAACTATGACGAGACTGAAAAATTGATGATTAATCGAAACACCGTATAAACACGCACTTATACATAATTTTTGTTATCACTCTGATTGTTGACTTTCTAATGTTGGTAGAGGAGCGAGATATTCAGTAATACACCCGTATTATACACCTAGTACAGGGGCTCTTGTAACTAGTTTGTAATAATCTCTTTAAGTCAATAAAAGTAAATAAAACTATCTTTTATGACAATCATGGTCACGGGAGAAACTGTGAATGACCTCTCCCGTGACCATGATTGCTGTAAAGCATTCGAAACGTCGGGAATCAAAATTCAAAATAAATTCGCCAAAAAATCCGAAAAGATAGTTTTATTTAAAATGTCAAATATTCGCGTAAATCTAAGAAAACATCAATAAAAGTATTTTTATTTATAGGCTACTACTGTTAGTCCCTAGGCTCGTGCGAAGCGAGTCGTTAATTTAAACAGATTATCTGATGATTACATTCTCAGATAAACAACGGAACTCCTTAGAGAAAATAAATAAGTCAAATGTGATTTATAATCTATACATAATTACATAAAATAAAATTCTGAGTCGAATCTGTAGGTACATTATTGTTTTTGGACAATCTTATTGAAATAAACATTATTATCGATACAGAGGCCAAATGTTTAGTTTTTAGAATTTTTGTCTTGTCTGTCTGTCTGTCTGTCTGTGACCGCATCACAGAAAGACCACTGGAGAAATTATGAAATGTGGTATCATGATGGTCAACACGAAGGATATTTTTTACTGCTGGAAAATATATGATCTCTGAGTAACCTATACTAAATGTTAAACCGTAAATAGAGATGAGACCGAGCGGAGCAAGGCTGAGTCGCTAGTAGTTGATATTTTTAGTTGTCTGATAAATAAATATACTGGCCGATCTGAGTTTTAAGTTAAGTTTTAGAATTAATTAACACCTTCTGCTGTGTCAGTATTTGGAACAGTATGATTTACTTTAGCAAGGTAGTCTCATAAAAATATTATAGCTAGTAATATTAATGTTCGAACATAAAGTTCAGAATTTTTAATCAGATAGACATAAAACCTGTGAGATTTATGATAAGTAATTTATGCATCCTGATTATAATAACATTAAAGAGTCTATATATCACATGAAAATCAAAATATTATTTTATAATGGGACCCGTTTATGTATTAATTACACTAAATACACATTTTCTATCAAATATATTTATTAAAAACTAGCATTGCCCGCGGCTCCGCCCGCGTTCAGATGACTAAAAACCAAATTCTTAAGTTTTACATATTAGTATACTCTTACAATGCAGTTTTTGTATCTTTTCGAAATTCTGTAGAAATGAGATTTTCCCGCGGTAAAAAGTATCCTATATGTTGACCCTGATAACTAGCTATCATCATACCTAATATCATCAAAATCTGTCCAGTGGTTTTCTCGTGATGCGGTAACAGACAGACAGACAGACAAAAATTCTAAAAACTATAGATTCGGCCTCTGTATCGATAATAATGTCTATTTCAATAAGATTTTCCAAAAAATATTTAATGTACAGATTCGACTTAGTTACAATTTTATTATATGTATAGATGTGGCGTTGACATGTGACGTTAAGTCAAACCAAAGAAAATAATCGAAAATCGAAAGTTTTGTCTTAACACAAAGAACTTACGCACACCACATGAAGTATTTTTTTTAAACGAAACAACGTGCACTTTAGTTTTGCTATCCGAAAAGCAATGAACAAAAGATATTTGAAGAAAGTGCACAATTTCGAATTGTGCACATCTTTTTGAGGACACTTTGAGACGCTCATTTTATATATATATAGAATTTTTGTATATCAATGATAGGATCCCATAATTTAGTTCTTAAAATTCTGAGTTAACTTAAACTTCCTCGTAATTCTGAATAAGTAGGTACACAGTGTTAATATTTTCCATTTAGTAGATTCGAAGATGATAGGGTCTAACTGATCCTTCAAGGGCTCCGTTAAAAGTACGAATCCTGATATAGCAGTATATTGGAAACACAACGTAGGTATAGAATATACGAGTATGTATAATCAAAGTTTGAACGATTGTACACGGAAGCGGTCAGAATCAAGGATAAGTTATTAGTTTAGTTCTATATTTCTTTGTGCTTATTTCCTATTATTTTGAGAGGCATTTACTGCGTAAATATATTAAATTTTTTTATTATCATTCTGTTGTACCATGCATTCATTATAATATTCCTTTTAGGCGTTAGAGTCAATAATATAAACATACAAAAATGTGAAGGTTTTAATATGTATGGCTCTATTATTAGTAATATTTTATAATTTTCAAAATGAATTTTTTTTACATGCTAGTTTACTCTAACTGTAAAATATTATAATAAATTATAAATTTTAAACCTTATAATATCTGACATCAATAAAACTAAGAAGTCACTTGTATAAAGTTTTTTTATTTAATCACAGCAAGCTCATCATTCATCATTCATAACCATCGTCATAATAATTAATTAGGTAGGTACATAAATAAATTCCTATATCATTATTTAGTAGTGTCCGAGACCATGGCCGTATAAGGCGCCATGCGAGAGACCGGCGAGACCAGCGTGGTGGGCCAGAGGGGCGGCAGCGTATGCGAGGGGAGAGGCAAGGGCTCCATGAGCTAGAGAAGAGGCATAGACACCATGAGCCAAGGGGGCACCATAACCTCCGTGGGCTACTGAGCTGGAAGACGCAGAGTAAGATACGGATGGTCCAGCAATGACGGCGGGGGCAGCGTGGGCAATTGGAGCAACATGGGCAGCGTACGCAAGGGGAGCTGCATGGGCCAAGGGAGCGGCGTGGGCGATGGGAGCAGCTACTAAGGCAGGAGCAACGTGTCCGATGAGAGCGGGGTCCTTGCGTACGATAGCGTTGAAGCCAGAGTGCGCATCAGCGGCATAGTCCACAGTACGACGGCTACCATCAGATTCCAACAAGGAGTATTGGCCGACCACATTATCTCCAACACGGGTCTCGTGCTGGCTCTTTACATCGCCAGTGTGGGGATCCGCTACTCCATAGGAGAAGCTGGTGTAGTCAGCACCGTGGATAGCGCTGCCTTGAGCAGCCGCCACCAAGAAAGCGAGAACGACGAACTGTAAAAAAAAAACAATTTATATGATAAAAAACAATTTATATAAGATAAATAAGAAACAAGTTGTTTTTATTATATTTATGAGCTTAAAGGTTTTTAAATTTGAACGAAAATTTTAAATTGAATAATTAAATTAAATTGTAGGGACCATTATTACCTTAGCTGCCATTTTGAAACGGTTAATTTTGTTGCACAGTGAACTGCGAATGGTAAGTCCTGGTCACAGTAGGGCTTTTATACAAGTCCTGTACAATCATTTGGCGCTATTAATAGGAAATAAATGACAGGTATGCCTTCTAGGTCACGCGAAGTGAATGCTTTTCAGAGTTCAATTTCGATAGCGCACAATTATTGGTTATGCGGAACTTAGTCGGCCAGCCGCCGCGCCGGACCACGCCAACGGGTACAAGTACAAACAATAGAATATAATATATTGTTCAAAGGAAACTAATCCATATTAACGACATTGGCCGTAACGACGTCCGTTTCTAATCATTTTTGACCTTCAGCCCTAATAGGTTTATAAAGTATGTGTTCTTACTAAATTGGAGGTCATAATTATTTTCTTCTAATTATAATTATAATAAACATTGTATGATAAAGATGAAATTAAAGTTAAGAAAACACCACTATGATATCATAAACAATTTATTATGTACAATATTTACATAGCACTAATGTGATAAAAGTACTAAGATGGTAAAGGTCCTTAAGATTCCGGTTTAAAGCAATAAGTCGTCATTTAGAAAAGGGCGGGGAGACGTCCGTATGGGTATCCATAGGCCAGAGCTCCAAATCTGGCATATCCGTAAGGGGCAGCGTAAGCGTAAGCTGGAGCTATGGGGGCAGCGAGTAGAGCAGGGTCCTTTTTAACTACGGCGTTGAAGCCCTCAGCTCCAGCTGAATAGTCCACAACACGGCGAGTACCATCAGATTCAAGCAGTGAGTATTGTCCCAAAACATTATTTCCAGCTCTGCTTTCTACTTGGCTCTTGAAGTCACCAGTGTAGGGATCAGCTACTCCATAGGAGAAACTGGAGAAAGCAGCGCTTACAGCAGCAACCAGAGCGAAAAGAACTACGAACTGAAAAATGTGAAAAAAAATATTAGAATTATATTTTTTTAAACTTTAAATAATAATTAAATTAAATATTATGATTTAAGATATTAAGATTTGTTTAATTTTTTAAGGGTATAAAGTCTTTTTTAATAGTTGAAAGTTAAATATATAAAATAAACGCTTACCTTCGCAACCATTTTTGATGATGTTGTGACTACGTTGATGAATCCTGGGAATGTGATGTTCTGATAGGACTCTCAATGGCCTTATATATCGAGATTTTGATCCAGTTCTACTTTAACTTGTTTCAATAAAAAAGAAATTCAGGAAACGTCTAAAAGTCAAGATCATTCGGGCGATGCACCCAATGAAATGTCTCACTGTGATGGTATCGAATGCATGTTTACGAGAGTCTTTTGTATCTTGGTCTCTTTGATTACCAGATCGGCCTTGAATGCAAATGTGTTATAAATATTTTTCAGATTTGCAAAAGGGCAGGGTATACGTTAAAATTGTCTTGTAAACAAAAAATATTTAAGCCGTAATAAAAAAAGTATAAAAATATTGATAAACGAAAAACTACAAATATAATTTATAATATTTTAAAAAAAAATATAAAAAATATTAAAATTACCTTATAAAAGAAGGAAAAAAAGGTAAGAGGAAAAGATAAAATTAAATACAATAAATTTTGCTCATATTTATTTATTTATGTATATTAAACAACAAACATTTTTATAAATACATTCGTAAAAAATATAATACTGTTACTATTAACAAGTTTATTTCAGATCCATATTAATTGCGAATACACTTTGTACTTTTCATAGAAACAAGAAGATGCATCTATTACGTGTCATGTTAATATCATGATCTGAAAGCGATGACTAAAAAGTGATAAGCCGATGGCTCGTGCCCACACTAGTATGCACAACTTGTATCGATAAACACTTTAAAAGATGGCGACAATAGAATGTTCTAGTTTATTCGCAACCAATATGCATTTTACCGATTAAATGTAAATCGCAAAATTATTATTCGGGGTCCGTTTAATGTCGATTTCGATATGCTCAGCTGGTTAGATCCAAGGATTGTGTCCATTAGAGAAGGTGGGGTGAATAACTGAGGTCCTAGTGATCGTCACGGGGGCGGGGGTTACATTGGGTACGCTTTCAGGCCAGCCCTGGGTGCTGTAAGAGGCGGTGCTCGCTGTATTGTATGATTGCTGCATTTCCTGGGCTTTGTTGGATGACCGTGTGGTTTCTTCAGGGTGGTTGTATTGTCTGTTGGTTTCTTGGTTGGCTTGATTGATCTGTGGCCTGCCCTGGTTGTTGACGGTTGCGAGAAAACCAGTGTGATCGTTTGCGCTGTAGTCAACAGTTCTCTTAACTCCGTCAGGTTGTACTAAAGAGTATTGTCCAATCACGATGTCTCCTCGTCTGCTCTCATGTTGGCTCTTAATATCACCAGTATGGGCATCGTTGACTTCATATGCGAAACTGTAGTTAGGTTCTGGATACTGCTCAAAGAAAAGTGGTGCTGGTGCAGGATGTAAGACCATGCTTTGGACGGCGATGATCAGACCGGAGAAGAATACCACCTGAAGATAAAATATTACATATATGAATAAAATTATATAAAGAAGAATTGTAGAACATATTAATGGTACAATATTAATAGGTATAATGTATGTTTGTATATACTTTTACCATAGTAACGATTAATGGCTTTTAAAACAATTTTTAGAAACGTTTATCTTTTAGAAATCTACGATATATTGTTTATAATAATGATATTAAGAATTATTCATATTGTAAATATTTTAATTTTTCTAATAATAAATATTAATAAAAATATACCTTGTTCATCATCTTGTTGGTTTGTTTGACTGATGTTTGTTGTTTCTTGCACTGATGTCAAGTGTGAATACAAAATGAATATCCCGCAATTTATATACGAAGAAATGAAAAATAATACCCTATTTCGCAATGAGGATTATGTGTCTGAGGGAAGTGGAGCGTTTGTAGATCTATTCGGCGTCTAGATTCTCATATTGCAATTCAATACTTACATATGAGGTGTATTAGAAGTTAAAATTATTTAATTTTGTTTAGTTATATAGAAATAATAATGATTATCACAGAATGGATGGATTTTATATGGCATTGTCTGTTGTAAATGTAAAGAAATAATTTAATTGTCTATAAATTTTTTTAATTCAAACTCCCAAAATTATTCTCCCGTCAGGAGTTGAATTTTTCCTTTGAGATATACCTCGAATTTAGTACCGATTTCGTATAATAAACCAAAAATAAATATACTCGTTCAGTACCACCGTCTTTTTTGAAATCGGTAAAACATCAATCATTGAATTACTCCAAAAAGCATCTTGAAGTACTTATTATCTCTTTAACTGCTCACAGCCTTACATATTCGTATACTCATAGTAATTATAAGTTTATATAAAATTACCATTAAAATGTGTAGTTTAATTAAAAACGTTGCTGATATATTTATGTATACCTAATACTAAAATTATCTAAAGTCAAATATATTTTATGTAAATATGCTAAATAAAGCAAACATAAAAACTTAATTTTTCGAATAAGTAAATAGAAAAATCTTGAATAAAAATCAATTCGATTTACCTATTAATGGCTTTAAAACATCCTACTTTGTCAATATCACGTAGAATGAAAAAGAGAAGAGGGAGATTGGTGGAAAGAAATGTATTAATTTAACTTATTTTATTTATTTTAGGTATAGATAGATATTTATTTCAAGAATAGATACATAATATATAATAATAATTAATTACAAATATTATTTGGATTTTGTAGAGTATGATTTACTGCTCTCTATGATAGGAAAACACGTGGTACATAGAGGAGTGCCTTCCATTGAAAATATTTTTGGCTCTTCATATAGCTAACAAACTAGATTCGTAATGCAATTACTGTTATACAAAAATCATGAATACTATATGAAAATTAAAAAAAAAGCAGTCATGAGGACTGCAAGCCGACAGAAATGAAAACTTAAAACTAGAAACAAACAGATGTTATTTTTAGATGTTCATATTAATAGTTTGATCTTAAATTAAAATGTGTAAATTAAAACTGTTTACATATATCTGGTTTTGACATCTATCGGCACTCTGAGTGTTAGCGTTAACACGTCACGTGACCATGTCGATGACGACTTACATGGATTTACACCCCATCCTAACCTGCCTATAGAAGTTTTCACTTCAATCTAGAATCATCTTCTTCTAATATATAAATATCTCGTGTCACTGTGTTTGTGGTCGCACTCCTCCGAAACGGCTTGACCTATTTTAATGATTTTTTTGTGTATTTGGTAGGCATGATTTATAGGCCGTAAAGTATTTTTCATCCTCCTACCCCACACCCCATTTTTAAGTAATATTATGTTATTCATGTTAGATTTCTATTCTTTAACGATTGAAGAATATTTTTTGTTCGAGCCACCTGCATCAGATATAAAGATAAACAAAACGAAAACGATAAAGATGTTACCGAGCGTAAAAATTCGTATAGCTATAAATAAAGTATAAACAAAGTTATGCAATGCTTAACGATGCCACTGAACTTGCCTCAAATTGCTTGACCGTGGCAATGAACTTTAAATTACATTCACTCAAGACATGTAGTGTAAAAGATGACTTGACCTCTGAATTTTAATATCGTAAAAGCTTACACGATACTCATCTTTAGCGAGCGGTCATAAAGGCGATAATTGCTAGAATTTATGCATGAAAGTGCAAGTGCCGCGTGCTCTAAGCAATATTATGGTACATGATTCGAGGTGTAAATGAAAGCGGTTAACAATATGTTATAAAGTATTTATTTTTCATCTGTTATTAAATAGATTATTATATATTACCGATTAGTGTTTTGTATTTGTGTTACTATAATGTATAAGCTTCACCAAAATCTGTTTAGTAGTTTTTGCGTTAAAGAGTAACAAACATACATCTGCACAAACTTTCTCGTTTATAACATTAGTAGGATATTGTTTAGATTCGCTTGTACTTAACGCTAGCGCGACCTAATCTTTAACTGACGTAAAAATTGAGATATTATTTCATATTTTGCATGTATGTTTTTTGCGTATAACCTCCTTTATTTTTTTAATCAATAACCTTAACACTTATACTTCAAGAGTGGCTTGAAATTAAAGTATCTTTTTACTTTAAAATAACTGCGATCAGCTGCTAACTATAATAATAATCTAGATTAATCTAGATTAAAATATGACATTTACAATTACTATTGATTGAGACCTAAATTGAAGTAAGGTCATTCTTCGCCTATATACTAACGAAGCCTATTTCGCATTTATTCTTTGTACAAAACATGATCATCACATATGCTACACAATGAAATAAACAGATACATATGAAGGGCAGCGTTACTTCATATTTCATAGATCTGCAATCCTTGCCATCGACCCTCTAATCCTCTGGACAAGCTATGATTAATTTAAACCAATTTAGAAAATCCAAAAGAACCAGATATGCTAGTAGGTATATACACACTTTTTGGCAAGCGTATCGCTTAAGAACGGCTGAGCCGTTTTTTTTGGCATATATATGTTTGGCATATAAAAATTAGAATTTTTATGGAAATATTCAGGAAAAATCACTCGGAAAATTAGGAAATTTGGAAAAAAAACTAAAAATAAACTAGAACTTTTTGTTTTATCAATCTTTAGGATTAATTTGGATAAAAAAACGTCTGTCTGATCACTTGTAAACAATCCTTGTCACGTTTACGATGTTTTTAAAAAGTATGAACAGCAGTAGAACGCTTATTTTTATTGTTTAGCTATTCATTATTATATGTGCAAGGTTGTTTTTTATATAGGAGGTCGTTTTAAGACGTTATTGCTTTTTGCCCTTGTGAAAGCTATTTAAATATGTTGTATTCAGCCCTTTTTAATGTCCCACTGCTGGGGGTGGGCCTCTCTTCAATACGAGGAGGATCAGGCCATAGTCCACCACGCTAGCCAAATGCGGGTTGGCGGACTTCACATGTCTTTCAAAAACTTGCTAAGTTGTCTTGTATATGCAGGTTTTCTCACAATGTTTTCCTTCACCGTAAGGCAAGTGGTAATCATGTTAGAAATGATTCGCACATGAACATATCAGAGGTGCGAGACCGGGATTTGAACCCGCTTCACTCGATTTCCCAAGTGAGCGCGTTACCACTGGGCTTCCACTGTCTTTTATTTAAATATAACTCAAAACAATTTATTCATTAAAACCATACAATAAGATCTGTTACCTTATAGTATTTATAGAAGTACGTCTTTCGTATCTTACTTTTCTTTTTGAGCATATCAGATTTCTGACCTTAAAATTTTTATCTTAGTATATTTTTGTTCGACTCGAGAAAGGAGGTTTTTGTATATCATGATTATTTTGTATCATGTCACATGATATATTCACAAATTTTGAATTAATTTTCCTAATTCTTTTTTAATGTATGGTTAAATAAAAAAAAATTGACCCCAAAAGTTTTATAATTCATTATTTTTAAGGGATTTTGAAGTCGGTATACCATTTTTATAAAGTTAGCAATTGTTAATTGTAAATGTATAAGCAGGATCTGTTTAGTGTTTTATGATTTTTAAGATGAGCTATTTTTATCAGGTTTTGTTTAAAATATTTAAGTTAGATTTAAGCCCTGAGAGTCGGTACATAAAAGTATATAAAAAAAATGAAAAAATAAGAGAGAGTAAAAATACCTCACATAAATTGTTTGAAAAAAATCTGTTAAATGGATGATAAAATATTGCTATTTTCAAATTAAAAAGAATTACTTCAGCTGTTGCTGAATATTATAATATCGCTTGAAACGGGGGTGAAAGAACATACCTACTTCTTTATAGTTAGAGAATAATCAACCATCTATTATTTAAAAGATTTACAAAATTTACAAATAGCGGTGCTAGATGTCACCTTTTTCCGGTCTCACTTGCGCCATCTGTTATCCATTTTAGGAAAAAATAGCCCGATATGTAGCCCGAATTAGGAATGTCTAAATATTTGTATGGGATGCGGCATCTGTACTAGTATAATTTTATATGTGTGGTTAGAGTTTACAATTAATATATGAACAATTTCTCTTAAATTGTACCACGCGATATACTTAAGCGTTAGTATAATTAGAATATTTCATTTCTGTTTCACGTTTGATGATGAGTACCATAATTAAAACACACTGTGGTGTTTCAAAGTCATTATTATGATATCTCATTCTAATTTGTGATTAAGTCGTTTAGAGACAGATTTATGAGATTAACTTATATTGGCTAGAATTCGTCTAGTGGTCGAATTTCGTCAACAATTATTATTGAAAATTTGAGGAAAATATATATAAATACGAGTAGAATTAACTATGTCTATATATATAAAAAATAACTGTTTCCAAAACTTTTTTATTGATTACACTAAAGCTTGTCAATAGTTACTAAGCAAAACAAAAAGATAATCGATTGACAAACAGTAAAAAAAGGTACTGAACTGTTTTGTGTTTGCCTATTTATATATAGATTATGTGGGAGTTGAGACTTTTTTGGGTGCAGGTAAGTCGAGAAGTTAATAAATAATAGTGACCATAAAAACCTTTTGTTACTACTTAATAAACTTTTGTTTACATCGATAATACTTAAACAGACTTTGTACTTAAGTATAATTTATTTCACTAGCATTGGCCGCGGGTCCGCCCGCGTTGTGATGACCAAAAACTAAATTCTTAGGTTTTACATATTAGTATACCCTTACATTGCAGTTTTGTATTTTTTCTCAGAAATGAGACATTTTCCCGCGGTAAATAGTATCCTA